GTCAGGGCAGAAAGGGTGACAGTGTCCCTTTGCAGTCAGCTCCAACCTGCTCAGATTCTATTTAAGTACCAATGACTCATGGTGAACAGGCTGCTAAGGGCCAGGAGAGCAGGCTTTTTGCCTCAGAGGCTACAAAGTATTATCACCAAAGTCAAGTGGCCGGTTTCATATTTACACAGAGTGGCTTTTGTGGCAAAACAACTCCTAGGGGGAAAAAGAAATAACAGATGAAAGTTGTCCTCTGCATTCATCACCACTTCCCCACATGATTCCACCTCCTCTCCCTCAATTCTACTCAACTGTCAACCCCCAAACACATACCACAACCACCACCTTCCCCTAATTAAGCTTTCCACTCAAAGGCTCACCTGTTCAGGATAGCGAGAGTCCCAATTCTTGAAGAGGAATTGACAACAGAACACAAGGTACCATAATTCCAGATTTATCCCCACTTAAAGCCAGCTGTTTCTGAGTCCATTATTCACACCTCTGTTGGGAAAGAGGGTAGTGAGTGAAGGAAGCGGTAAACCTTCTTGAAGGTTCTGTTTATGACCAGTTCACACAATCTAGGTCCAATATGTATCAAATATTGTCAAACAACATTACAGCGTGGACTAAAGTATGACTAACTGAACCGGGACAGCGGTCTAGCTCTGAAGGACACCTTCCTGCAGGCCACACTTTTATAGACCACAGGCCAGGGCAGGAGGGAAACATGGCTGCAAGGAAAGTAAGGGGAGGAGGGAGTAGGAGAGGCCACTTGGATCCATTTGACAGGAGGGAAGCAGAAAGAAACAGCAGCAACAATTTTCATTTTAGCAACGTGCTGCAGGGCTGTAGAGTTTCTGCTTAGAGTCTGTTCCAGGGAGTCCTTCGGACTAGAAATTCAATCGGGGTTAAACCCATAGTGTAGCCTGCTCTGCTCTGGTTCCTGTACTGCAGCTGACAGCATTTCAGTCAGATCTGAGTAAGGGAAATAATCTCAAGGAGAGCATTATTCTCCCCAAGGCTATGAAATTTATAATAGATTCCAGCCATGAAAACAATTTGTTTACTCTTTCCCCAAAATTATCTTCTTTCTTCCTCCTCTTCCTCCTCCTCCTCCTCCTCCTCCTCCTCTTCTTCTTCCTTTTGTAAACTTGTCTTACCAAAAAATCTCCCTCCCTGTCATGATGTTGAGCTCTCTATGTACTGAAACCACAAGTGGAGCTGGCTGAGGCTTATTCCCAGCCCCCTACAGCTCCGTCTCCACCTCCCTGAAGTGCTGTGGCCTTTGTGGAGCTGGGTCTCCCTGTTCAGGCCCTTCCCACAGTGGTTCTATTTACAGGGGCTGCCTCGTGATGGGCCTGTGCTGGGAGCCAGCTGGCAGGGGTAACAGATGACCCTTCCAGTCATAGTAGGGATGCCCCAGGATTGTCTGTACCATAACAGGAATGAGGAACCTGATATGTGCTGGTTTGATTTAGGAATCAGATCTCACTTTAACATGATCTTAAATTTAGAAGAGCTACTCTTGGGCTGGCNATTAGCCTACCAATTTTACCCTACTCATTTGCAGCATTGTACCTGTTATTTGGCCCTAACACTAATAATTATAGATGGGCTTGGCAGCATTTTTGCCAGCAAGTAAAATACATTCTAGGAAGTAGGCTTCCAAAGACACTGTGTTCATAAAAATGTGAAACTCGCACTAATTGTTAATGTCCTGTCTTGCAGCTAGAACATCTCATCAAATCAAGAGAACTGGAGTTTCTAGATCAGCCCAAGGAACTGGATAACGCTCACGATGCCCAGCTTCACCTCAGCCGCTCTCAGGAAAAGCAGGCACACATAGACCATCTCCACAAACTGGCACTTTCCCTGGGAGTGGGCATCATCTCATCAGTGCAGCGGCCGGTAAGCAACTTACACCACCATCATTCAGGCCTAATTAGAGCTGGGAGCGGGGCTACAATAGGGAAGAAGCCAGGCAGATTGCCTAGTGCACGTTAAATTTAAAATACATTAGACCATCGGGGTAGTTATTTGTGGTGAGGTTCTACCACATATAACCAAAGAAAAACACTTTAAGGGGACAGAAAATCTGATTATAGAAGTCTTGTTTGATGCATCGGTTCTCGTGCTAATTAAAAAACGGTAGAGGTGTGTTGTCTAATGCAGCAGCCAGTTTGTTCACATTTGAAATGTGCCTAAAGCAACTAAGGAGCTAAACTTGTAGCTGTATTTAATTTTAAGTGAAAAATTGACACTCAGTTATTGGAAAACTTCTAAATGTGTTCAGAACAACTGGGCTATGGAAACCTACATTTTAAACTCTAAACTCTGTGAAATTTAAATACAGATCAAGTATTTCTGATATAAATTTAGCAGTAATTGAGATGTGCTGTAAGTGTGAAATACACACCAGATTTCAAAAACTTAGTATAAAAAAACCTTATTAATATTTTTTATATTTGGGCACATGGTACAATTTTGATATTTGGACATAAGTGATTAAACTTTTTAATAAAAATTACTTTCACTTGTTCCTTTTCTTTTTTCTTTTTAATACTACTAAAAAATTTAAAATTATTTATGTGGCTCATGCTTTATTTCTTAGAAAATACTGCTTTAGTATTTTAGACCTGGAAAGTATCCTAGAGATCATCTAGCCCAGAAGTTTTATTTTATAGATAGGGA